AACGGGGTGCATAAGCAGGCACAGCATAGGCTCAAATCATTCTGCATAAAAGCGTGGTCTGAATGTTTGAGCTTGGAGGATATTCAGTAATGAGATAATTTAGCGAGGAGGGGCAAACAAACACGCTGCATATGTTTGCTCTTCCCCAGATATTGATCATGTGTGTGCTAGAAAATATTTTTCTGCTGCGTTTCACATAATGTTAACTAGTCAAATTTAGTAAACAAATGTCATACTGAGTGGGGCTGGAAATAAATTTATACCAGTTGTATCAGAGGAATTCTTCACAAATATATTACAACACTTACCTTTTGGTCCAGCCAGATCACCACAGAGGGGAATGAACAGAGGTCAAGGGGCTTCTAGTTTTTTGGCCACGTGTCTTTTTTCTTTTTTTCTGTTTTTGCTTTCTTCTGTCCTTTTGTCTCACCACAGATCAATATGGAATGAGATTGGCTTGCTGCACAGCAAGCTAACACCTGATGAAAATAAACTGAATGAGAGTGGAAAGAGATGAAAATTAAATTTCTTACATGATGAATATAGTTCAAGGATGTTACCCATGCTATTAGCCCTCCTTAAAGAAAACAGTTGAAAAAGTCATCACAGCTTTTAGTATACATCAAGCTACTCAGTAGAATATGTGGGATTATTTTTAAAAACAAATTATGAAGAAAATTCATTCTTTTTTCTTTGACTGCATTAAACAAACGTATGCAGTCACTAGTGGTGGAACAGAATTTACTGCATTCAGCTTCTAGATTAAAGGAGGTGTCATATTCATGTCATAACTAAAACACCCACCAACTCAGCCTTAAATACCCTCAGGCCTACTTCTCAGCAACTGATGACATATGTTTGATAGGCATGACTACACTGAAGTTAGGTTTATTTTTTGGCATAATAATACATATCAAAGGTGTATACCATGAAAGGATAAGGGGGTCTGTAACGTGTATCATTTTCCACAGCATTCCCGGGCCTACAGGGTAAGCTACACAGGATGTCTACATTTTGCAGATGAGTTAGTGAAAAGAAAGCATAGACAAGAGCATCTGATATGAAACTGAGAAAAATGACTCGAGTCTGTGATGGCTTGTGAGGTAAATGGTGCCAGTTTGCACTGCTATAGACTATTCTTTCCTTTACTGAATCTATATCTTCCCAGATTAATGAAATATGCCCTTTTCCGAGGAATAACAGATTCATGCTTCTACAGCGAGAAGGAACTATTGTATCACGTAGTTTGACCTCCATTGTATCACAGGCCATTTACATTCACCTAGCTATTTTAGTAGCTTCTTTAAATATATTTTCTTCATCTTACCTCTATATTGTACCATTTGTTTAAATAAATAACTTTGAAGATAGCAAGATTAAGAAATGACCATCATAGCCTATGTTCTCCAAGGTGTTTGCAGCCTACCATTGCATAAAGTAACATGCTGAGCTAAATGTGATGCCTTACTATTCCAAAATGTTTGTAGGGGAGCTGGGTCCCTAGCATAAGATAAGCGTTCAATTATTCATGTATTATTCAAAACACAGAATATTCCAAGTCTGTAAATTCATAGTTATCCTCTCCTCACAGAATTTCAATCCTATGAGCTAGGACCTAGAGGTGATTTAAACATTTTAGAGGTGATCTACCACTTAGGGTGATTTAAACAGAATTTCTCACAGCTGTCTCACAGCTTTATAAAACATGTAGTGTTTAATCTGTGAGGTCATATGTAAAGAAAAAAAATTCTTATGTTCAGTGAACAAAAATTCATTTGTTCATTACTTGTAAAAGTCATCCTAATTTCACAGAACAATGGCAGTAAAATCAGAACAATATGCTACTATTTACAATGGAATTTTTATAAATCCTTTTACTGCTAAGTCATATTTGATGGGATTTTTAGCTGTTTCGTCAGTACTTGCAGAATGCAGCCTGCTCAGAATAGTGAGGGACTTTCTGCTAGTTCAATAAGCCATTCAACCATGGAGCATTGACAACTGCCTTTCTGAAATCCAGTATGAATTGACTTGTGAAAGTCAATTAGAATTCAGTATTTGGTTAGAGATTCTTACGCACACAACACCCGGATACCTCGTCAGTCAAATGCTCTCAACACAAATGTTGTGTAGATTTGTTTTAACTGTAGTTGCTTATTTACCCTGTCGCAGAATTAAATCCTTCCAATGTTTAATCCATTGTCCTTCAGCACTACAGGTAGCTTATTCAGCTATGCTTTTATCATCTGTATACTGAATTCCTGTGTGTAGATAATTGTATTACAACATACAGTAAATCCATAGTGGCAGGAGTCTCAGCCCAGCTCAGTACTTCTATTTTCCTTCTTGCTGAGCAATGAGGAATTGATTCCTCCTCCCCTCGTTCCTGCCAATTCTTCTAAGTCTGTCGAACAGATGGGGGGTTTTGTGGGCACGTAACAGCCATGACATGCTTGGCACAGGGTTATCACGCAGACATAAGGTGTATGGGGATTTTTAATGTATGACAAGGAGTTTGTGATCACAGCCCCAGTGTGAAGGGGTCTGTGGGCAGGGGTGATGGGCAGGTCAGGGGCTGAGCCAGGACTGCTGGTCAGTGATGCGGTCCTGGCCAGGCCCCACGGTGGTAACAGAGGTCACAGGCATTTTTTGAAAACCTGCCTGTCTCTCTCTGGTGTCCTCACCTCCATCTGAGTCTACCTGAGAATGCAGTCTGAAATGCTAGACTGAGATTTTAATAAGATCTCAGTACATGATAATTAGGCACAGAAATATAAATTATGTTCTCTTAATACAGAGCCTGATTTCATATAGCCTCAATCACAGTGCAAATATTCTTCATTTCTACTGTGTTGATTATTCTTGCCAGTATGTCTTTTAATTTGATTTGGCATTCTTCACATCATAGAAAAACTTTTCTTGAGTCTTTGATTTACCTCTGCAAAGCTTAATACTACTCAAGGTGGCTGAATTTGACCTATTTTTTCTCTTGTTTTCTCATCAGAAAGCTTCAGAATTCCAAGTTTATGCTCAAAAAGAGTTTCCATGCAATAAAAACCTGAGTAGACAATAGTACTTTCCAGTCCACTTTTCCTTTTAGCTGTTACTGGAAGTATTAGGTACTTAAAAAAAAATGCAGTGCCTCTTGGCTATATGGCAAATAGAGGGGCATACTTCCTGTTAGTACATTCTTGCTCTCTGAGCAACAATATTGTGCTTTGTCGAACTAACAAAAAATTAGCACTTATTCACTTAGCTGCACGAAAGCGACAGTATATTACTGTCTTACAGAATGGAAATTGCAGAACCTAGTACAGACTGTGAAGAACTCTGCATATATGGACCATGCATGCACCTCATTGTGCTTATGTTGTCTTGGAACGAGTGCCATCTCCAATAAAATGCAGCAGAGAAGTCTTGTGATGGTAGCCAATGGTGTTTATTTGGCTCACTGAGGAGCTTATGTCAGGGGTATTCATCAGGTAAGAACTGTATTTCATTCATATGGAATTTACTTTCCAATTTTTTTAGTCATCCCCAAGTGTATGGGATCCACATATTGTTTTTATAGACAAAATTCTTCTTAGTCTACATTTTAAGAAGCTTTCTGCTATATTTCTGGTTTTGTCAGAAATAGGCAAGTGGGGAGTCTTGCAGCAGAGGAATAAAACTTCTCAATAAAAAGCTGACACAGAGGGAAAGAAATTAGGAAGAAATCTCTGGCAATTCCGTGGGCTTGTTAGAAAGAAATAAACCAGCCCAATCTTATTTGCATGGAAAGGCCTTACTCATGGACGAGTCCCCTTTAAATAATTCTAGATCATGCAGGTACCTGGGCAGGGCAGGAGTTCAATAAGTCTGCGGCATAAGCAGTGACTGGGAAGCAGCATCTAAACCAGCAGGCTGCAGACAGACTGCTGGATGAGATGGTGAAAAGACTTTTCTCCAGGATCCAGAGGGGACTGTGGAGTTTGCTCCAGTTCAAAAGCCAGGGGAGATTTTCAAAAGGGTTCTGGGCTGACAACCTGCTCTGCAAGTTCATAGTAGGCAGAGAAGAGAATTATTTGTAAGCCTGTCTATTTTTATTTTGCACTGCCTAGCACACCTATGTTTTCAGTGTTAGAAAAACATATCTAGTTCATGTTCTAATAACACCTTGTTTCTGCAATATAAAACACTTCTTCTGTTCTTGATGTTCTCTCTTTGTGGATAAGGTGCAGGCAGATCCACTGCAAAACTCCAACCGCTCTTGCCACGTGGTCTGAGATTTCAGAGGGCTTCCGTGGTACAGCCCTCATTTGCTTCAGGTGTCTGCCATACTGAAAGGGGGTCAAAGGTCCACTTTGTAGTCCAACTTGAGGCAACAGAGCTGCAGAAACAAGAGATGTGTACTGACTACTGCCAGCCCAAAGACATCTGAGGTTTTCCATTGCGATAGCAGGTTTCCAGAAGCCACTCCCCAGTTCCTGTTTTAGAGAGTGAAATTTGGGGTGAGCTTGCACGCACCTGTCTGAGTGCCCCTGGGCCCAGGCAGCAGTAAGGCTGGAGGAGAGAGCTCCTGTGCCGATGTTTTGCAGCTAAGGCCCAAACTGTGACCTGGCCAGGGCATGGAGCCAACTCACCTCAGCTGTAATTGTGTTGTTCTTTAACTATCACTGTTTTGTTATTGCTTGAAGCTGGGTCACACTCTACAAATCATCCCTTTAAGTGGATGCAGTGCCCTGTGACAGAGCAAGGCTTAATGAGGGGGGTGGAGAGCCAGCTGGAGCTGCTATGAGGAGAGCAGGGGCAGCTGGGCTTGGCTGGGTAGTACTGGGTATGTGGGCTGTGTGCTAGTAGCAGCCTCTCTGAAGTGTGCGTGGAGGAGTCTGCACATGTGGTTTCTTCTAATCTAGCAAGTGAAAGTTTTGGCAAATGTGGGATTTAGTAGTTGTGGATGGGGGCTATGTGCCAGTTTTCCTCCTGGAGAAGGTAGAGGAAGTTGATGAAGAGTGCTGAGCTATGCCTGTTTGGGGATGAATTTCAGTTTCATGCTTGCCTCAGTGCTTGCTCTATGCTCTAAGGCCGTTCTAATGCTGCTGTGGCTAGAATAACTGCAGTGCAGTGTTAGCAGCCACAGGAAAGCAGAGCTGTGGTTGCTGCTGCCCTTTGCTGTCTATGGGAAGTAGAAGGTAGGAGCATCAGTGGTATGTTGCGTTTGAATTTATTTCTGTTTAAGATTATAACAACTATTGGGTTTGCTTTGAGATGCAAATTGTAATTGCTCTTCTTCCCAAAAATAGATATATATATATATATATGCCATTTTCCTATGGCCTGTTTATTAACTCCCTAATTTACTGCAGTGGTTTTATAGTGCCTATTTATTATTACAGCATCTGAGCTTAGTAGGTGAATGTATATCTTCTTTTTTGGTAACAAAACTATTCTGCCATGCTAGATAACAATGGAATCTGCTTCCTTCCTTTTATGTAACTTTTTTTATTGATATGGCTTTTTTTCTTTTCTGCCTAGACTTTCTCACCTTGTCCTACTAGAAAAGGAATGTACAGCTGAAAGGATAACACTCAGTATAGCTGTGATCCTTAACCAATACTTCCTTATTCCTTTCTTGTAAAAACTCCTTTTCCTGGACAGCGTTTGCTGCCTTTTCCTTGAAACTATATGACTGTCTTGAATGCTTATGGCTAAAAGGCGATCTCTAATATATCTGCAGCTCTCGCAAAGGTGGTGACTGTTGGAGGAGGTAGGACTGGCAGTGGAGTCTTGGAAGCTGTTCCAGCAAGTGAATACTATTTGAGTTGTGAAAACGTAGGGCAAGAGGCATGCAGGTCTGGGGTGGGGTGAATTATCTGTCTTAATGTGCAAGTATTCACAATTTCTCCTAAACAACCTGCAGCTGCAGGATACAATCCTGTCTTGGAATCCTCTGCCCTTGGCCGCACTTCAGTATGCTCCCTATTGTTGTCCCCAACTCTTCCTCCTCTCTTCCATATTCATGATTTTTCTGTGACTTTCTACATGTGATAGCCCTTTATATGCTTATTGTCAGCTTGCTCAGACACCTGCATAGTTGTAGGGGTCATGTTGAAGTTGTAGGTGCACAGTAGGCAAATGAGACATGCTTATGGCTGCCCTCTTTGGGTAAACCTGCTTTTCAGTGAACCTTTCAACAAACTTAGAAAAAAGGCTTGTCATCAGTAGGCTTTTTGTTTGTTTTAATGCATTCATAAAGTAACACTTAGCACATTCATCTCAGCAGCTTTACACTGGTGCCAAGAGGGAATTGTGCCTTTACCAATTCTGCTGGTTGCTTTACGAGCTCTCCTGTTTCAGTTGTGCTGCCTGGGTATGCGTAGCTACATAAAATGTACCTATCCTAGTACAGATTTCTAAATCATCATGCAATAAAAACGAATATTTACACTGTTTTAGTGCAAGTCACACTTTCATGTAGGTTTTTTAATATATACTGACTGGTGGTGTGTGGGAAACACTGGAGGAAACTAAACTTCTAAAAGCATATAGTGTAGTTAAAAACTGTCTGCCCCTCATTGAGGAGGATGTACTTTTTTTGAGTAGCTTAAAGGGGATAACTGAGCCTCTTAATATCATAGTATCTCCTTAACTAGTCTTGAATTATTTCAAGAAGCTGTAGTACTTCCTTCCCTTTTTTTTCCTGCATTGTATTTCTCAACTGAAAAGTTCTCTAGACTATGTCAGGAGCCAGCTTGGCTGTCCTAGATAGAGTAGGTGCCACCTATTAATTAACAGCATCTCCCTTTGTGAGAGATGTGGATTTGGGAGCCCAGCTGGTGCCTGGGTGCGGGGTTGAGGACGTGGAGCTCAGAGGTACTGTGGTGGGGTGATGGCTAGGGTGGGGAGTGGGAAGTCTTACAGTTGCATTTGCAGGTGTATTTAGGTGTCTGCGCGCATGCATGGGTAGTGAACTGGTTTAGGTGCTAGTGGAAACTTCAAGAGTTCCTATCTCTGACTTTGCTGTGCTTCTCTGCACCTTCACTAAGTAACTGTCCCCATCTGTAGCACTCGAATAACTCTGGGGAAAAAAATCTAGTCCTTAGCTGCTGACATACATCTGTGTGACGCCTTTCAAATATAATTTTTCAACTTTCCAAGTGGTACTTAAAGATCTTCTGCTATAGAAAACATGACTCTTTCCAGTTAAAATTCATTCTTGTTGGATTCTTCTATTTTTCATCAAAGAAGTATGTGTGTACTCAAATTCTGGGTAATCTGATTTTAACATTAAAACTAATGATGACTTTAATGGCAGCTGGATTTCAAAACTCTTTAGTGTCTCAGGTTGAAGTATGATGTTCCTTTGAGAGTGTATCTATGAGGGAGTGGGTAAATGCCTTTTCTGTGGGTAAATAGTGAATTTAGGATAAAAACACAAAAGTCACAATAGTCCTATTGCATAGTGACAATATTGATTTTTCGTGTAAAACTTGTGATGGAGTGTATGTAATGCAGTCTTCTCCCGTATTCTGTTTGGTTAGTTTCAAAATCATCAGAGTAATTTTCTTCATGAACACAGGGTAATGTGTTCTTTTTATTTTTCTTTAACAGAACTTGGGGGTGTCACAATGGCTAATATATCTTGCGCTCAAAAAGTCATGTAAACACATTGTAAAAGAAATAGTCCCGTGCTTTTCATGTGTGTAATTTGTCCTTTTAGGTTAGAAAACATCCTTTCCAGCAGCATTTCTTTGGTATTAATATACTTCTCTCTGTAAAAGGCACATACAGCCTTTTGCGCATCTATTTTTGGCAATAAATGTTATCTTGCATTTTTTGAATCTGATGCAGATACTGTGGTTTTAAATACAGTTTAAAAAAACAAACAAACCTCTAATCACTTTTGTTCTGATCTTTAAACTTGCCACTTGGAAAAGAGATCTGATAAGGCTTGTGTTCTTGTATGTCTCTTAAATTGCTACCCTTTGTATCTGAGCTTGCAGAATCCTAAATCACACTAACTGGATGACTGGAATGGACGTTGGTTGGGGGAAATACATACAATCCACACAGATAAAGTATCTGCTATTTTTAGCTCCTGACAGCCCAGGTTTTTTTATGTTGCTCTTACTCAAGGACCATTCTTACTGTTTCTTTCTTTTCTCCTTGCAGCTCTCAGTTCTGTCATGACTCAGAAACAAAAACGTAGTACAAAATAATGGTATCCAAACTGGATGGACATTACTAGAAGTAAATAGCAATCTGGCAGGAGGCTGATCTGTATGATTTTTTTCATAACTCTTTTCCATCTCCTCTGCAATTGAAGATTGTAGTAGCATGATTGCAGTCATTGTTGTTTGTCGGAGTTTGTGCTTAATGTAGCAAACTGGGGAGCTGACCAGGATTTAGGTGAGGCTTTCCTTTGAGCTGAGAACAAGACAAGAGGAAATTATCTCCATGATATTTTACTAGAGCAGCTACTAGCATGACCGTATTTCCTTATGGTTTTTGCTTGTGGTGCTATCTTCAAAATGTGTTAATTGTGAGAGTTCTTAGACTTTTTTTTTTCAGTCCTCTAAGAATACAGTATAAGTCTTTTTGACTCATTTCACAAGCTCACTTTGGGAAATGGTTACAATTAAATGCTGTCTCCTTTTGAGGAGAAGGGGGGGGAAAAAAAAGGTGTTTGTCTCCCAAGTTGTATATCTGGGGGAGAAAGCAGTAGGAGTTCAAGCGTTGATAACGGAAAGGGCTCAAAACCCGTTCACTTCATAGGTCCTACATTGGTGTGGTTGTTGTGTAAATTAGTTGTGGTGTTTAGTTATGGTGTCCTGGGGAATCTGCTTAGTGCACCGGGTTTCTGCGTGCCCAGTAAATATGTGCAGGCTGGATCTCTCTGCCTGCAGTATAAACTGCAGCTCATGAGAAGAGAGGTCACGGTGCTCATGCTCCTGCCCATTAAATTAAACTAACTGAGCTAAGCCTCTGTTCTGGGGAGACACTGCTTGTAAGCTGATAAGGTAACAGTGTGCATGTGTGTTTTGTTGGCTTAGTGTCCTTGGTTAGCATCATACTTGAACTAGAGTTCATGAGACCTTGAGGATTCTTCCTTTTTTCTATTAAGAGAAATGAATTGCTTGAAGCTCCTGAAATTTTCAGTTTTCACCTCTATGCAAGAGATTGGGGATGTGCTTTTTTTCATCCCTTATGTACCTATTTGCATTATTATTGCACTGTTGTGAGATAGGGTTAATGTAAGTTGCAAGTAATAATGGAATATGAAACATGGCAACAATAAGCACGGGAGGAAAAGCTAAAAATCCACTTGGGAATTAATCTAGTTTATGAGAATTTTGTTTGATTATAGAATGCTTGCAATTGTGCTTAAATATACTTTCTTGGTGGATCAGAAAAACTAAAGTATTCTCAAATATTATACCTACAAGAGTCACCTCGGATAGAAAAACTTGAATTTCAGGCTTTCAGTGACAGGAATAAGACAGGAAACTTTTAATTTATGCTGTGAACCTGAATAGGATATTAGCTGTAACTTGCAATGGGATGGCCAATAGGGGTGCAATTAAAACACTGATCCAATTACTCTTGTCCCTGTTAAACCTTTTCTCACTGTTCCTAACGAGTCCTTTTTTTCTGCCTAATTCTTTAGATTGTGTTCCAAACCATTCCAGGCCCTCAGTAAAACTCAGGATCCCTCTTAAGATCATACTTATGATCTGGGACAAAAAGTGATAATTCAAAAATATCATGGAGTATTATATTTAACAAACTAAGTTTTTTCAGATTGAGAGCTTTAGGTAGTTCAAGTAGCCGTCACTGGACAGTAGACCTCATTTCTGACAACATCCATTCACTGAAAGACTGGTAACCACCAACTTTCAGTATTTACTCTGAAAGGCAGGTTATGGGAGCACAAGCAATTGGCCCTAGCTCTGGCAGGCTTGTTTCCTTGGTGTCATCTTTGCTCGTTGTTTTCTTCTAATCTTAGTAGTAGCCAAGTCAAGGACTTTTAGTTGTTTTGTATTTTGGTTTGTGTGTGTTTGGTTTTTATTTTTTTTTAATTTACAGCCAGTTGTGCTGACAGATGGCTGGTGACTGTGTTGTAGCACCCTCAGCTCCTGCAAAGCTCTACTATATGGGAGCTTGGGCATATGTGAATGCCACTGTGTATTGAGAGAAATGTTGTCATGAAAGGGAAATGATCACAAATGCGAGCTAGATATATCAGAATCACAGAATCGTTTAGGTTGGAAGGGACCTCTGGAGATCATCTAGTCCAACCTCCCTGTTCAAGCAGGGTCACCTAGAGCATATTGCCCAGGATCACATCCAGACGGGGATGTGCAAGTATATGCAAGTATAATAGCAAGTATATAATATGCAAGTATATATAGCACTCTAAAATCAAATATAACATAATCATTTAATTACATGCAAGAGAGCAGATTCTTCTACTTCTATGCCAAAAGCCTCAGGATTAAGTTGATATGACTAAATTAAGGGCAAATACAGTCTGGGGTGATGTTATACAGAAATGCTGTAGCATTCTGTAGCAGTTACTGTGGTGATATTGACTGATAATTTTGGTAGAAATTCCTAAGCACTTTTGGGAATCTTAGTTATATCTGATGATCACAGAAATGCTATGTTTAAATACAAACAGACTATTTTAACAAGGGGATTAGAATGACTTGATGTAGAAGACTTTCTCAAACTGTTGAAGATAATTATGATTGTTTTAATCTTATAATTTAACTACAACAGCAGTTTGGAAGAGCAGAAACTGAAATCTGTTTAAATGGCATACATATTTTACTTGGAGACAGAACGGATCATCGTGGGGCATGATGTTAAAACTACTTCTTCTAAAAGTCTGAATTTTCTACATAGCTTGTTCAATTTATCTATAATTTATCTATCTAATTATCAATTTATTTTCTACCTAAAACTTCTATACAAAATACTTCCAATAGAACCGTTACATTAGTTGCACCACTAAATTCTTATCTCTTTCTACTTCCTTGTTGGAAGAAGGGAGGAGAGGGGAAATATTACTAATGACTTCTCTAGCTCTAAAGAGTGCTTTTTGTGCTGAGCTTCTCTTCCTAAGTAGCTGAATTGTTACAGATAACCATGAGAAGCTAACATAGAAGGAAAACTAGAAAGCCTGAAATATGAATCTACCTCCATCAATATTATTACCATTTCAAGGGAAAGGAGAGCACTTCAATTAGAAGTGAATAATATCAATTTTGTAAGTCAAAGACTGAGCTTGTTACTAATACATTTGCTTACTCAAGTTATTCATTTCAGTAAATAATCAGTAGTATTTGACAGTGGTTATTCTTTTCACTATAAAGTTATAAGTCTGCATTAGAACAGACTTCTGTATTCGAGAATCGCTCCCAAATTTTTTTTGGTTTACTGACTGGGTGCTTTACAAAACTGAACTAAGTGCTTTTTTTAGGGAATGAATAGTTCTACTGACTTCAGTATACTGCCAGTTTTTGAAGGAGAGGACACCATATGGGGAATGAAAGGAGAACAGAGAGGGGGGGGGAAATGGAATTTGAATGAGACTTGCGGAGTTCAGATTCAACATCTATGAAATGCTTTACTGGATGGGGATGTGAAGCTGTGGACACTGTATTAGTGGATTACTCAGGCCTATAGACTGTTGAACAAACATGAAATGTTACTTGGCTTTTCTATCACATGCTATGAGGAAAAGAGTGCTTTTTGTTTTAGCCTGTGTTGTGTGTTGCATTTCTAGAGACAGTAACAGCATATTAGGCAGCCATAATGTCTCTTGGTTTACCTAATGGACAGACCTAAAACCGTGAGACAGTTAGATCCCTACCAACTGCTTATATTCCTATTTTCTCATTTCCTTTGTCAACTGCCCTTTTATATAGTTCTTCTAGTTGTTATAAGTAGAACAACAGTGGTTGTGCTGTATGCATTCCTTCATACTTGAGAGCCATCAAGATAGTATTCCTATTACAAGCTATGCTCAATTTTTATGCCTTCTAAGGAGTAAAGCAAGATTGGGATGTCCCCTGGAGAGAGGGGGGGGAAAAAAGGAGGAGGAAAAACCCCTTCGTGTAGTTTAGAATGTGCTTAAACCTCCACTTACTCTTTGTGCTTTCAAGCTTGAGCAAGAGCTGAGCTATTTACTGGTGCTTAGTATGCTGAAAGTTTGAATTAGGAATATTGCAAGAATGCAGCTTTCCTAGAAATCATGTGGTTATTAAACTTTTTTAATATAAACACTGCTAGTGTTGTGCCACATCATGCTTGTTCCCCTCTTGGGATCAACAGGAATATTTGGGTAATAAGCACAAAATAGGCCTGTGGAAGTTCTAATGCCAGTATTTCCTCTTGAGGTTTCACTCCTGCCTATCACTTAACTACAAAAGTGTAGGAGAGTTGGAGGCAAGCAAAATACTGGGTAGGAGAAGAGGTAGGACAATTGCTGCTTTTTCAGATATTGCGGACTCATTGTGCTGCCTGTCTGCCCTTCTTTGCTGTCTTTCAGTAGAAGATTAGGAAAAGAAGGAATATGATGGACTGTGCTAGGAGAAAGAAATGGAGGAGCACCAGGCTCCAGCTCAGCTTTACTATACTCTTCTAGCTGTGCTATAATCTTCTGGTATTGTGATTTGACTGGCGCCAGCTGTTTGTTCTTTAGATGCTTCTGTTTAATTCAGAAATCACTAACACAGATGACCTCCACCAGAATACTGTTTTTTATTTATTTTTTTGAAACAGTTGTCTTATATGAGATTTACCTCAGACTCATAAAAATCAGATGAGCTAAGCGAACTTGTAAAAGCTCCTTCATCAAATATGTGATATTTTCCTATTTTCTTTTTTCCTTCCCAGCTTCTAACCAATGGAGTTGCAACTCAGCTGAGAAGAGTGTTAAAGGAGCTACTCCTCATGTATGGTAAGAGAAAGGCTCCCCTCTAGACTAAATATATGTGTGAATAATGGTAGATGGATCTAATTTCTGTTGCTGACAATGTCAAAGGTACAAGTTGCTCGTTTTATCTTCAGTAAGGCATATAAAGAGTTGTATCTGTTGAGGGAGCTGCATTCTGAGAATGTTTCAGCTAAATGACAAAGACTTTGAAATTGAGTTCATAATTGTCAAGTCTGTGCTTTTCTGATTCATTCTGTGTTTTTCTTTTTGGTTTGGAGATACCTTTTTAGTTAAGCCTTTTGTTGTAATAAATGAGATTTTAATTTATTTAGCTGTACATCTGGACCGTGAACATACCACTACTCTCCATAACAGTAGTTAAAGCTTTTAAATCAATAGATTTAAATATCAAAAAATCAGCTGCCTCCAATCCTTTCTGTATTTCTTTCAAAATATGAAGTACGTGAACGTAAAGGAAAAGCATCCAAGATGTTTTCACTGAAGATGAAAATAAGCATGTTGTTGAACAATGGCAAATTAAAAAGTCCATAATCAATATTTTATTTTGAACAATTCAAAATAAATATTGCAAGGCCAGGAAATATAGTGGCAGTTTCTGGGGCTGTGCTTACTTGCTAGTAGCTGCTATGACCTAGTTAGCATTTGTTTGCTCCTTGGCACATTCAGAGAGTGGGATGAATGACATCACCGATAGATGTTATTTGTCAGCAACACTGTAACATAATGCCATTTAAAAATACCTTGAACAAAATAGACTGTTATCATGGTCAGAGAGCTAGTGGTTTTCCAGCTTTCAGGGACCAAAACAACTTGAGCTAAGTGAAATGAGCTTGACTGACTGTATCTTAAATATAGCTCAGGAGCTGATCCTGCACAAATGAAGACAGTGAGATTACTGATGCGGAGGAATTAGTCTGCTCCCCTGTAGAATTTTTCATAATAGCTCTCAAGTGAAAGATTTAATGAATTAGTTTTGGAAACTGGTACATCCTGACCTCTTCTTTCCTAGCTCTTTCACTATTGCCCTAATACAAAGACATCTGACTGCAATATGTTGAGTGTTAGTGCTTATTGGTGATGACTCTTCTTGCTCCATGCTGTTCTTTCTCTCAACAATATTAAGCCTGGAAAAAGCTTTCAGTTGCTCATAAGGCAATTTAGATTGTTTTCCTAGGCTCAGAACCCTTGCCCCTGTTGGGTTACCCTTTAGTTTTTGCCAGGATCAGACCAGTGCTGGCTGGGTGTAGTGATTTCTTCACTCTGAGATGTGTACTGTTCAGACACTAATTCCTGTCTAATTTTAAATTGCTCTTTAGAATGCTTTCTTCCATCTTGACAGGTAATTAGTATATCATGATAGTTTTTTTTGTAAACCGAAGACAATATTTCTCATCTTCTTTCTCTGCCTGGCAGACCATGTTTATTTTATCTTCAAATGTATCTAGTGATACCTTCATTTAGTCTACGTCTGAGACTTGGTGTCCTTTTTGGATAAGACAATGCCTAGCATATGACTACAGGATTTAAATAAGTGTAGCAGAAATTAAATCATCCAATTTATATGTACTGAGATAAGGAGTAATTAAGCCAAACTTGCAGAAACCTGCTGTGGTCAATTCTTACCATTTTGGGAAATACTGTTGCTGTTGTTTGGCAGGCCTAAATGTCTTGGTGGAGAGTTAAACATGCTAGGAAACAGTCAAGTGTAGGAAACTAGACTCTTAAAATCCATCCTGAGTAAACAACAAAGCCTAAAGCCTTTGGGAGGGTGAATACTTTAAGTTTATGCTACCATAGTGTCTTCACTTGGTATCCATGACAAACTGTGTGGTTTTTCTTTTCCTATGCCCCAAGAAATAAATGCTTAGTACATTAAGCTATTGCACCAAATAGTCTCGTAATGTGAAGTGCTACTGATGCTTTTGCAGGTGTATGTATTGACCACTGCTTGTCACTAATTGAATGAAGAGTCCCTTCTGCTGTTGTCTGAATCTATTATTATTAATTTAGCCAATGTGGTACTTCTGGTCAAAACTATAAACTAACTCTAAGATTAGTTTAATTGTTAGTTAAGCCTGGAAAACTGAGACATCATACCAACTAGTGAATGTATATATACTTAGGGCTGTTTAGCTACCTTGTGGCTTTGTTTTGGTTATATGAATGAGGCTATACACCATTCCTAGGCCTTTCTACTGAAACTCCAGAAATGTTCATCTGGCACAGAATTACAAACCTTACTTAATGTTTGAGTAGACAAGAATATGGAGCAGCAAATAGGGATGGAGGGGTTAATACATTTCTGAAGGGCTTCTATCATATCAAATTGGATACCTCTACTGTTTTTTCCAAACTCTCAAAAAGGCAAGTGATATATCTCTAACATGACATTTTACATTTAGATGTAAAAGGTCATTTATCTCTTTTCTCTCAGTAAGTGAAAATTTATTCACATGTCAAATCTCTCATGTCAGGGAGAATCCAGATTGTAGACTCAAAAGCTTTTCATGTCATGTTTCTAATTAGGTTTGTGACTCATTCTCATGAATAATATATCAAGCTGCATATTAACATCTAATCCAGCTGAATCATCAAGTTACAGTAAACCTTGGCTGCAGCAACTTTAATAAAGTCAGAAGCTGCAGCATTTTCTCTAACAGCTGTTGAAGCTTCTGTAGTGTCTCTGGGCACTGAAGTTGCCGAGCAAATGATTGGGTTCATGGTGCAGTATTTGGCAGTGAATGAATTTGATTAAAATCATAACAGTTAGGCTTCTTTTGGTCTTGTCCTTTTCAGGTTTCCCTTAGTCTGGGTGAAAATTAATTTCCTTTATGGTCTGTGGAGGAGAGAGCAGCTGCCAAGGTTCTGACTCAAGTGTTGTAGTGTGTTTAGAAGAGATTGCATTTTTGTTTGCAAGAAACTGGTTTGTTTTATACCTGTGATTGCTGCAACAAGAAGGTATTAGCTAATAAATTATTCCAAAAGTTTTAACCTGCTCAAGTGAAATCACTTCTGACCTCAGGGGCCTTGGTCTCAATTCAGAGAATATTTTGAAGTGTTCTCCTTGTTCCTTTATTAATATGCTGGGTGGGACTGTTGTGGATGTAGTTGGTATTTTGTTGTTAGGATCGTGCTGGCAGTTATTGACAAACAGCTTCATTCCATCCTGTAGTGTTCATCATCAATTAGTCATTTGACAGGTATAATTTCTCAGTGCTGTGGATCACTATTCTAACTGTAAATTATCTTTGAAAGTGTCTTAGAAATGTCTCCCTTTCCTACTGTCTATTTTCCATCACCTAGCTCATAAGGCTGCTGTCTCTGGCATATACTTCCTTCCTATTTTATTTTATAGACAGAATGATATATTCCTGTTACTCCCTCCCTTTGTTTTCCCTGCTGGCTCCCATGCCTCCTCCAGAGAACTGGGCTTGTAAGATGCTTCACTCAGTGGCTACTGTGTGTTTGTATGTCAGAGAGGAAAAATAGAAATGAATGGTTGTTGGTCTGTGCCTAGTTTTTCTGTCTTTTCAGATGCTATTTCATTGTCAGATCTGTTGACCTTCATGTGGTAAGAGGGCCTTTGAGAAAGGTAAAGCTTAAAGGTAGCTTCTGTCAAACTGTATCGGAATAATCAGCTTTGAAAAAGACAGGTACCATGTGCCTAACGCTTCTCTCTGTGTGCATGTATTCTCTCCTGCATCCATGCTATGTCCTATTGTGATCCAATCTATTACAAAATATCTCACTAGAGATCTATTACAGTCAGATGTCTGTGGTATGTCTATAAAACGTGAGGTTTGTGACCTGAAAGTGTGCAGATCACACTTGTTCAACTAAATCTAGCCAGGTTATCAGATATGGTTTGGTTTTACATGTGCAATTGTTAGGCTTTTGTTTGGGACTGTGAGAAATCAAGCTAAGTATATTTTTTTTCAGACACAGCAAAACTGACTTCTGGATAGGATCTGACAGTAAATAGCAAATCCTGTATGGCCGATACAGGAGTTGAGTTAAAATGTTTCAAGGCGAGCAACTTGAGAATGGAGTGTAACCAAAAGTTAGTGGGAGGCAGTGGACAATATTTTTCAGGTGATTTAAAAAAAAACTAAGTTGACATACATTTCAAAAATCAAAATATTATTGTGGAGACGTGCTAGATTTGATGCAAGTGTATTTGGCTGTTGCATATCAGAGTGCATATGGTATGTGGCAATGTCAGTAAGTGTGCTTGGCTGTGCTAGACCATGATTGTATGCTGTAACAACTTTTCAACATCTTAACCTTTGTGTGTTTATAGTGCAGATCTTGGTGTTCAGAAATGGAAAAAGCAACTAACTCTTCACTAAAATTCTGAAAGACCTTCTTAAAAATTATTCTCCCTTTTGTAACGCAAGGTTAGGAAGAGAGAGGAAATGGTTGAATACGTATGGACTATGCCTTCAGGATCACAGGTTGAAGCTATGAAAATAGTAGGATAAAGCACTACTTGATGTTTATGACAAGCATGTATTAGCCATTTAAAAGTAGAATATACAGGTTGTACAGGAGTATGTTAGGCTGCATGGATTGATGTCTGATCAGCATACAGGACTTGTCCCTGTCCTGTCAGCGTTCCCATTTGGAGACTGGGGTTAGTGGTGATTTTTCCACCTATGAATTTGACTTATGTATGACAATAGCATGCATATAGCTCAGCATCATGAGAAGTAGCATTAAAATTAAAATGGTTGTCCTGGCTCTCAAGCATCCAAAGTGACCTTCTTTGAAAGGGTACCAAAAGGCTTTATTTGAGCAGGGGTGGGGTGGGGGGGAACTAGAGTTTTACTGCTTGTATCAAATCTGCACAAATGTGCCTACAACTTCAGGATTTGCTTATAACTGAGCTAGTTAGTGAGCTGAAAGATTTGGATTGCTCTAGCAATTAGACTTTCATTTAAGGTAGATTTAAGCTCCACTCAGCTTCTAGGGTTTCATGCAGTAGTTCTTCAGCAGGTATAATT